CAGGAATGGGAATGTGACAAGTGGAAGGCATGAATGCAAGAGGGTTTTTTCTTCTTTTTTGTTCCTCTGGGACAAAGCTTTAGGATTTTCTGTATTGTGTCTCAACATAATGCTCAATAATTCCCTTGACAGTTCCTCAGCTGAACAACATTTCTCATTGATACTTCCTCTGTTTATGAATATATTACTGCCACCGTGACTGTACTCAGAACCAAACTGCCATGCTAGCTTCAACATTTTTATATTCTCATTTCTTTTAAACAGCCACTGTGGAATGTTACAATCCCAGAATGAATGAATGGAGCTATGTCGCAAAAATGAATGAACCCCACTATGGTCATGCTGGAACCGTGTATGGGGGATTAATGTATATTTCAGGTAAATAATTCCTATGATCATATAATCTCTATGAAAAGATTACTTATCTAACTTTTCCTATTTCAGTGGGAGACAATAAAAAGTAGTCTCTGGGTGCCGTTGGTTTGCTGTGGTATAAGCAGTTGATGCAACTTCATATGAGGTCAGTCAAATAGCATATATACTGCAGAGTCTGAGAAAATAATTTAAGATAATATCATGCATTTACATAGTAAATGACAGCTCTGAATTACAAAGCAGTTACTGTAACTCTCAGAATGCTTTTTTTTTTCTGTGGCAACATGACATATATAACATCACATATACATTTAAATAGCCATAACCATTAAACATTGTCTTTAATACACTTTGGAAAGCATTGGAAATTTTAATACTTTGAAGAAGAACATCTGTCTTGATTGAGCTATTGGAACGGGATAAATTTTCAGGTTAATCGAAATATACGAATGATGTCTGTACTTTCACTGGTCTTTCATTTGTAATATGCTCACTTAGCTTATTGTTTCACTCCATTTTTTTTTTTCCAAACTGGGGGCAATAGGTTTTCTGAAAATCTGGTATCTGCTCAGTTTTTAAAGACGACTCAATCTGTCTGTCAGTGATCTCTACAGAGATCACAGACCTATGCATGTTCTCCTACTGCAATTTTAAAGGATGTCCTCTAAGAACGAAGCTGAAATTCAGGGCAGGAGGTGGGACAAGGTAGCTTAGCTGTAAAGAGCTGGTAGGGAGATGCACTGGAGCAGATTGATCCTCGGGATTCCCCTAGGAGGGATTTTTTTAAAAACTTGTCATAAGGAACAGCTGCTTATTTTTCTATGAGCAAGTCCATTAAGCTAGCTTCTAATCACTGTGCTGCTATTTGTACTTTTGTGCCTGTTCACTTGTTTTACTGCAGGTGGCACATGTATATGCTCCCTGCTGTGGTTTTTTTCATGCAGATGCTGTGTATTTCCCACAGATTTTTCTTTTCCTCCTGTCTTCTTGGATATCCCTGCAAGTCTAAACACTTAGGGGGCTGAAAATGTGAAAATTGGTTCCTTTATCACTAAAGCCTCTTCTTTCTGACAGGCTTCCAAGCGCTGCCACTAATGTGACTGTCATTAAGTATCAGGGATGGACAGTCCTATTTTTTCTGTATTTAATTCTTACTGTCCAACGGAAGAATTAAGTTCTTTCTTGCATAACGCCTGTAGACACTATGCCATCTCTGTCCGCCAGTAATCCAAGCGTGATAATCCAGTGTTGAATGGTTAACCCAGCGGGAGGCTGTTCAGCAGCAGTGTGTTCTCTGCATATTTTTAGCACCTCAAATATGGTTGCATTATGGTCTTAAACCACAGCTAATAAGCCTACGGTGTCTGAAATTGGTGTGACTGCTTTCTGACCTGCCTAGTGACCTTGCGGAAAGGTGGGGCATTTCATCCACCGATGGAGAAATCATCCTGTGGTTTCCTCTGAAGCCTCTCCAACTGCTTTTGCAGGGAATGGTGGAGAAGGTAAACAGAGAGAGAACCACAGGCATCTATTAACAGTAGAATACTTGAAATCTGTGTGTCCTCTATCTCTGTCTTTGGTTCAAGTTGATGGAAAAAGTTTTCTGAAGAAAATTCTGCTATGTAATAGGACCACTTAAAACAAAAATTCAAAGTCTCAAAATTTGAAAGGGAAATGGATTCCTTTTTTCTTGATGGCGAGAAACAGAACTAGCAAACTGAACAAATGTAAGCAAAGAAATGATTTTGCCAGAATGAAACATAAGTAACAATTTCTTGTTCTTTCAGTCTGCCAGTATCTTATGTAATGAAGTACTGTGTAAGTCATGGCTTCTTTCCATATTCAGATTTAAAGGAACAAGGTACATTAAAAACGTCATTTGAAATGGAGCATGTACGTGGTAATCTAATCTAAGCATATGTGAAAAGTTTTAGCGAAGGCTGAATTCATTCACGAAAATGTATGTTTCTGCTATTTATTGCTTATTAGGGTGAGCATTGCTCTAACATGTATTTTATTTCTCTAGGGGGAATTACCCATGATACTTTCCAAAAGGAACTTATGTGTTTTGACCCCGACACAGACAAATGGACTCAGAAAGCTCCGATGACGACAGTGAGAGGTCTGCATTGCATGTGTACTGTGGGAGACAAGCTATATGTTATTGGTGGAAATCACTTTAGAGGAACGAGTGATTATGATGATGTTCTAAGCTGTGAATATTACTCACCAACTCTAGACCAGTGGACTCCAATTGCTGCCATGTTACGCGGGCAAAGTGATGTTGGGGTTGCTGTCTTTGAAAATAAAATCTATGTTGTTGGAGGATATTCTTGGAATAATCGGTGCATGGTGGAAATAGTTCAGAAATATGATCCGGAAAAAGATGAGTGGCATAAAGTATTTGACCTTCCAGAATCACTTGGTGGCATTCGAGCCTGCACTCTTACTGTTTTCCCACCGGAGGACAATACAGGGTCACCGTCTAGAGAATCTCCTCTTTCAGCACCTTAGAAACATCCCTTGACTTATGATGTTGTAGTAACACCTTTGCACTGCATCATGGAGTCTGTTATTTTTCTTCAGTAGTTTCTGTTAGGCTTAGCCTACAGCATTTCATACAATTACTGGAAAAAAAAAAAAGACTTTGACATTACTTGTGCTGTTTGTTTGGCCTAGAATGTTTGTCAAGTGGTTAACAAAAAAGATGTACTCGCCCGAGCCAAATGTTTAACAAATGAGAAGATATTGTCTATAAAATGGATGAACTAGGTATGTTATTAATGTTGTGTGTTGGGTGTGAGGTACCTTGTAGCTTACATTTGGAAGCCCAATGAGTCAAATTTGAAGACTTTGTATTGAACATGTTCTTTCACTAAATTTCATAATTGAAATCCTTTTTCCTTTCATTTTTGACTGCCGATTACAAGGGGAGGTAGACCACATCAATGTGAACTATGACAGAAGGTTGCCAAGGGGCCTGAGCTACCTCCCTGTTTTCACAGAGTATTTTTGACATATCTGTTTACCCACCTGACGTGGTGGGTGCTTTCAGAGCATATGAAGTTTCTTAGGCAGAGGGGAGAAACAAAATAATTTTAAAATTAGCACTATACAGGAAGCGGACCTTGTAGAGGCCGGGAGTTTTTTTATAACATATATCAAGTGTTTTTCCTGAGTCAGTTAAGTGATGCCTCAAACGAAAGATTTAAAATGTTTGGGTTTTTTAATTTGGGTTTTTTCGGGAATTGGCTCCCGCTTGCATGGGAGCACACACTATTAACAAATGGCAATTCAGTGCAGTTGTATATTCTGCTGTACGCCTGTACTGAATATAGGTAGATAAGGGCTAGAAACATTAACTTAAGCCACAGAATTTGACCAAATTGTTCCATCAGATCAAATTTAGTCTAACTTTTTTCTCCTTTGCTGTTGAGATAACTTGCATAATGTGTTCTCTGTATAGTCTCAGTTAATAAGGTTATTTAGCACAAAGTGCAGCTTCAGCGAGAGAGCTGCTTTTGCTCAGTGAACTTGGACTACCACATTTTACCTTCTTTTGTTCAATAAAACTTTTAACTGCAGTTATTCAGTCTAAGCTACCTCATTAATGTATTTGGTTTTCTTCCTCTGCCTCACTGTCTCCAGGATACGCATTACGTATATCTGTGTGGGTAGATTAATTTGCTAGGAAACCAATGCAGAAGTGATCATGAATGGGTATTTTTTGACCTACTTTTAAGAAACTATTTTGGCCTGATGTGTTCATTTTGTTGTTAAGGACTGACAAAAGATTTTTTTTTTTTTTTTTTTTCCCCCTTGGAGAACTACTGTTTATGTGTGCAGCCATGCAAATTTACTGAAATCTTTACCTGCTCCAAAATAACAGCGTGCTGCTGACAAATTGCAGCTCTCAGGGCTTATAGAAACCTAATGCCATCGTGCTTGTTCTGAACTTCACGTTTTATGTTACAAGTGGTTTTGCTAATGAACGTAGTCAGAGGTGCATCGTCTGGGGAAAACTGTTTAAATCAGTCAGCTTGTTTTATTGTGCTACCTATTACCAATAACCATGTACAGTTTAATAGACTCTTGTTGGGAATATCCTATTTGTATTTTGTGCCTGCTTGATGCATCGAGCAGCAGTATTACTATGGTGTCAATTTTGGAAGTACTGATATTTATTCTTTATGCAGTTTACTAGTAATGATCACTACTAAAATGTATGTGTAAGCTGTAGGTTTTATAGTTGTTTTGGTTAAAATTAAACCCCAATCTTCCACTTTTTTTTTTGAATAATAATCTTAACTCTGCCTAGCTGTGTGAGGTTGTTACAGGTGTTAATAGCGGCACCAGCAGATACTCTTGGAAAGCAGCCAGTCAAGATGAATTGACTCATCACCTTAAGAATAATCTTCTAATGCTGTGCAAAGCACCAGATAGGAAAATGTTGCTCTGTCATTTAAGTGTGTGTCAGTCATTTAAGTGTCGCATGCTACTCATTTTTTTTCCAGCTCAGAGACCAGATTTTAGAGCCTGCTTGAGTTTAAATCCCCTGAAATCCATATTCCATTTCTATTTTATTAATTAAACTAAAAACTAGTTGAAGTAGTTGCAACTCCCTTTGGATAATGTAAATACAACCTGCTGCCTGCATGCTGGGGGTGAGGAGATGCACTGTTTAAAAGTGGGTATCTTCACTGCTACTCTGCGTTTGAAGGAGCTTAGGGTCAGTTCTAACCATTACGAGACTGTTAGAAGTCTGTGTCTAAGCCTTGAGAATAGCCCAGGAGTGTATGGCCACAGTGTAGAGATTTATTTTTTTTATTGAGTCATTATCTATTCCACTTAAAGTGAAAGAATTCTTTCTGAACGTCAATTTGTCATCAGTGTTGGACATAGCTTAGTGGATTAAATGTAGTGCTTCAATCAAATTAATCTTTGAGGTATTTTCTTATATCTCCCTCTGGATTAAAGTGTTCATAATGACATTAGTTAACATCTACTCACCGGGATTGAAAAGTAAACATCAATGATTTTCCAAAAACTGCAAACTCTTCTTCTGTAATGCAATGTAAAATGACTTGATGCTCATTGCATCTTTTTAACTGTAGCATAATAAACCCTTTCCATCTCTGAATCCACAGCTGGAGGTGTATGTACAGATACAGCAGATACTCGGTCTCCATTTTCAGTAAGGCTGCTTTTCTGAAGAGTAAGCCTGCCATAGTATCTAGAGGCAGCAGCATCCAGATGATAAGCAGTCACCTCTATTTTCATAAATCTTGAATGCTTTCATTTTTGCAGTTATAGTACCTAAATTAGAAAACCATCTGGAAGAAAAGCAATTAGTAGATGTTTGACCTGAATGCGAATGAGACTACATTAGTCTGCTAGCAGGGAGAGCCACTGGAGCTGCCTGCCCTGATGGCAGACCCGCACTGCAATCTTGGAATTCATGTGGACTTTGCTTTTTTTGGTGCCTGACTAGCAGCAAATGCCCAAAGTGTTCACTTTCATATACAACTTGTCAAAAGGCCCGGCTGATACCCCTGCAAAGGAACCCTTTGAATGACTCCAGACACCTGGGATGCCATTTCCCTTGTTCTGTGCTTTGAAATAGGACAAGAACAACGGGGAGGAAAACCTGGGAAAACCCAGATTATTTGAAGTTTCTTTGCCCTCTTCATAACAAAGAGCTGATCATCTGCAGATGTCCAGTTTTCCGTGCTCCCCTTTCCCTTAGAAAGTTGAGAGTCTGGCCCAGGGACAGCAATTCGTGGCAGGACTCATCCTATCCTGGGGTGTTTGCAGCCTTGGCTTTCTTGGGATGATGGAGTTGTTGTGAAGGGGAGAGATCCGGAGCAGTAGGAGGCAGCTGATGCCGGACCTGTGCCTCTAGGCTTCCCTGTGCTAAAGAATCACATCGAGTCTTAACCTGTTCCCAGGACAAAAATGAGTTGTTTCTCATATCAATGCTATTTTTAAATTGCCCATTCTGTTTCTGAGGGGGGAATCTTTAAGGAGCAACATTTTAGTAACAGTCGGAAGCTCACACCAATAGTCTGATTCTTTAGTGGAATAATGGAAATCTTGGATTAGGGCAGTTTGCATACAGATAAATAAAATTCTCCCCAAAGGCTTACAGTCTTAATCTGATGGGCTGGTTGGACATCAGGAAATAATTTGATGCCACAGCAATGAGTGCAATACAAATGTGTGGAGCAGTTTATAGCCAAAGCACTTTTTTTTTTTTTTTTGTGCAAAGTTCACTCTACCTACTAGAACTGTTGTTACTTCTTAACTCACCCTCCAGCTGGTAATTACCTCATCTTTGCATTGGTGTCTGACTCTGCTGGTTGCTGGTTTTTTTAATTCTTCCGTTTTGTAGCCGACATCTTTGTTACTTCCTCTACTCCTAATCAGAATCGAGAAAGCTGAAGCTTTTCTGGTGGCATGGTCCTCACTTCAAGGGACAAACCAGCCCGCTGCTGGTGTGTAACGTACTCTTGAGAAATGGAATCGTAATTCAGCTTGTGCATACTTGGAAATACAACCTAGTAAAGGGTTGAAGGAGTAACGTGTGTCCCATTGCCTCCTGGCCTGCACCTTAGCTGGCGTTTTAGGCTGTACGTAGAGAGAGGGTGCCCAGAGATCTGGAGGCTGAGTCAAGCTCTCACGTTCACTTTACGCTTTCCATGCTCTGGGAAAGTGTTCTCTACTGGCACAGCATATGCAGCTTCTCAGAATTTTTTTTTTTTTTTTGGATTTTAGTTAAAATGTGAATGATTGTTCTTTGTACACAGATGTGGTCAGGAAAAAAGTCCTAAAATGCAGAGTTATATATATATGTATTTTGCTTAATGATAAAGTTTGTGATCCAGTAAGTATTGCAGGATCTATTCGGCTGTGAAAAGGTGATCACAGTTTTGAGAATAAGCTAGGGAATTAGGGTGACTTCACTGACTGGCACTGGTTTGCATATTCTTGTTGCCAGTCTCTTACATATCATTAAATGAAGGTCTTTTCTCAGTCTGTAGGCTCTATCTTTTGAAGGCCAGCTCTGTTGGACCTGCCGATTACCTCTGCTGGGGAAAACATGGTGGGATTTGTTCCACAATGTATCTTACTCGGTAAAACAGCATGGCTAGTTTTTTTTCAGGAATTCCGGCATCGGTGATACACAGGAGTCCTCCAGAGTTATTTAATGACCAGGTGGTTTGTAGAAGATGCAGCCCAGATAGCCTGGGAGTGGTGCTACAGCAGGAGCCTGCATGGTTGATGTTCCAGAAGGGATGATCTGGAACGGGGATTGCCACCTCCTCCATGTATTGATTTGGCTCTTAAAGACTGGGGTTTTTTCCCCATCTTTGGGAGTGTTTATTGCTGCTGTTTGGGTTTGTCACTCTTTATTCATGAAATGAGTAATGCCTCTCTGAATTTGTGGTGGGAGCGGTGAGCTGGTTCTTTCTGAGCTATGTGCTGTTGGGCTATCCACGTATTCATGAAAGTTTTCTATTCAGGGCTCTGTTTCCTAAGTGTTTAGAAGAATTCTGTTTGCAATGTGAAAAGATCTCGGATGAAAATGTGTTTGGGACTGGAAACACACAAAGCTAGTAAATTTGCAGAGTAAAATTATAATTCTAGGCAGGAAAAAAAAAAGCCTCTTTTGGAGTGTGTTGGCATGCTTCAGAGGTTCATTTGAACATTGAGCTCCCACAGACTGTCTGGAGCAATTATTTTTTTTTAAATAATTTATAGTTGAGTT